ATGAAGCAATCATCCTCTGGAGAATCTAAGTCAATTCTATGTCATTTGTGCTTCTCTACCCAACCAGAGAGAAGAGCAATAAAACAAAATTCACCACATGGCTCAAAGGCCCATATTATCTTGAGGCCTCACCCTGTTATCATATTTTTCATTCTTCCTAGTCTTCTAAGTAAGATTGTTTAAGTTGACCAAGGAGCTTAGAAAGGACTTTATTTTCCTAGGCAGAAGTCAAACAAGGTGAAAACTGGCCTTCAAGATTCTTCTCGGCTGGAAAGCAAAGTTCAGTGATATGTCCCTTGTTACAAAGCTAATAAATCACCAGTAGCTACTGTGCAACTACCAGACTTTATTTATTTTGGAAAAAGGGAGTTAGAGCTTCAATGTATAAATTTGGGGCAGGGGCAACAAATATCAAGTCCATAACAATATGAAACTATTAAGGTGTTTGCATTTTATCTAAGAGAAATGTGGATCTATTTTACCATTTCAAGCAGGCCAGTGATATAATGAGATCTGTCTTTTAAAAACAGGCTACAGCCAAGACCGGTTTGGCTCAGTGGATAGAGCATTGGCCTGCAGACTGAAAGGTCCCAGGTTCGATTCTGGTCAAGGGCATGTACATTGGTTGCGGGCACATCCCCAGTAGCGGGTGTACAGGAGGCAGCTCGTCGATGATTATGCCTCATCGATGTTTCTAGCTCTCTATCCCTCTCCCTTCCTCTCTGTAAAAAAATCAATAAAATATATTTTTAAAATAAATAAATAAAAACAGGCTACATTTTATAGATTGGGTTAAAATACACAAAACTGGGGATAAGAAGATGACTTAGTGGTTGGGAAAGTAATTCAGGTAAAAAATAATACAGTTCAAATAGACTAGGATAATGGTTGTGAAGATAAAAAGTATACCAATTGCAGAGATGTTTGAAAGGTCATTCAACTCAACAGCCCTTAGTTATAATTTCTGGCTTGAGAAATTGAGAGCTATTTTTTATTGAAATTTGGATTACATACAGATTTCCCTTTTGGTGTTGTCCCCCAAAGGGAAATATATATTGTCCTTTTGGTTCACATTTTAGTTCAGATTCTTTCAGGGCAACTGCATGGAGATATTGAATGTGTATTTGAATATTTAGTTCTGAGAACTAGATAGAAAATAATTCATCACTAAATGTTCATAATGTCCATGCTTAAAGCACAGAAATCATAATAGGTTTTTAAAATTTAAAGTATAGTGAGCTGCTAATTTAAGCCTTGCCTTAAAATATATTAAATGGCACTAAGGAAAAGACTTTATAATATCTGTTCATCTCATCTTTTCTTCATTTTTCATCATTTTATAAGTGGAGGAAAATTGAGGTTAATGAACACAATATAGTCTGCCACAAACTAACAGAATTTAATGGTGATAGAACTTAAACTCACTTCTCCATGTTTCCCTGCCAAAGTTCTAGCAGAAGTACATTGGCATCTTAGGATCTCAGGTTCATGTCAAAAGAAGGTAGGCTAACCCTTCCAATTCAAGAGTCTATAAGTTGATAGCTAGATAACTATTATTTCTATAAATAACCAACTTTAAAGACCCAACCTAACTCCACTTGTAGTTCTTGAATCCGAAAGGTAGGAAAAATAGGGGTGGAGCAAGGAAAGCCAAGTTCTAGACTCAATTCTAACAGTGGCTCAGTGTATGACTAAGAGTACACTGATTCTCTTTGTACCCATTTGTAATTAGAGGTGAGAATTATTGAGATGCCTTCTTTCTCTCAGGCTATGAAACTAATACTAGAAAATTTACATTGATATTTATACACAGATGTGGAAGTAATCGTTTCCTACTGTATGTTCCCTTTGCACTCTGAACATGTCTCTATTATTGTACCTGCCAGATGATCTCATAACTGTGAGTATAAATGTTTGTCTGCATGGCTAAACTAAGAGACTCTGGAAGGTAGAAATTAGTAAAATTCACCTTGGCATCTCTCAGTTTCTATAACATCATTTGACCCATAGCAGGTGCTCAAGAAATTTTTTCTGAATGTTAAGAAAAAGAAAAATTTTTGAAAATTACTCAACAACAACAAAATCCTTAAGATGTTTGGCTTTGAGACATAAAAAACAAATAACAACAAATACATTAAGACCTTAGATCCTCAAAGAAAAAAATTCATTGTTAAAGCAGGGGGTCTCTAATGACCTTTCAGAACTCTGGATACTGTCTCTCAAAATAAATTTTAGTTCTTAGGGACTTCTCGGTTTATAAAACAAACTAACAGCTTCTTATTAAATCTTTACAAAAACCTTTCAAATTAGATTTTATTATCCTCACTGGACATAAAAGGAACCTGAGTTGAAGAGAAGTTAAATCATTCGTACATAGACATTGGAAGGTAGGAACTCAACAGCTACTGCTATGAAACTAGCAGGATAGTCATGTTTAATTAATTCACTAAACCATATTAACTGAGCAGAATGTACAAGGCAGACAACTAAGTGCATTGGAGCATGATAGATGATTCAGACACATCTTAAGGACAGTCTTCAGAGTCTAAGCCATGGACAGAGATAACCTGCAAGAAAGAGATTCCATTTTATGGGAGTGCTGGGGGGAGAAAAAGGGGGGGGGCATTAAAGAGAACCTGTTGGACAATGATGTTTGGTCTGGGGATGGGCAAGAGTGAGACCGGGGGAGGGACATTCATGCAAAGGGAGAGAGGATAATAGTTACATTAACGGGAAGAGAAGCACTGGTGAAAGGGCAAAGGAGAGAGGGGGAATGAGATAAAATAGCATATATATATATATATATATATATATATATATATATATATATATATATATATATATATGAAAGTCTAAGCGACCATTAGGACCAAACAACCAGAATAACCAGTCGACCATTCACTATGATGCGCACTGACCATCAAGGGGCAGATGCTCAATGCAGGAGCTGCCCCCGGGAGGTTAGTGCACTCCCGAGCTAACCTCCTACAGCCCCTCCCCCTGGCCAACCCCCTAATTCCCCACAATAGGAGTGGCCAGCTGACCAACCTCCCATGACCCCTCCCCCCGCCCCCCCAGCTGGCTAACCTCCTGTGGTTCCTCCCCTTGTGCCCCAGTGGGAGGTGGGGGGATCTGGTAGGCCAAATTTCCACAGTCCCCCCCCCCCCCGCCAGCCAGGCCCCCTGATATGCCTCAATTGCCAGACAGGCTGAGGGACCCACCCATGCACAAATTCATGCACAGGGCCTCTAGTATTAGATACATTGATTTTAAGGTTCTGGTGAACATCTCAGTGGAGGTATCAATCAAGCAGTTGGAAATGCTGGGCTGGAATTAGTGGAAGAAACAGGAAATGATAATATACTGCTGCAAATGAGAGAGAGAGAGAGAGAGAGAGAGAGAGAGAGAGAGAGAGAGAGAGAGACACCAAAGAAACATGGAGACAATAACATCCAAAATGTGGGAGAAAGGAGGGGAACCAAAGAAAGGGTAGTCAAGAGGTAGAAACTGAACAACAGCAGATTAGAAGATCAGCAGCCCCTTCCTGGATATCAACTCTCAGAAGTGAAGGTTCTGTAAAGAAGACTTGGAAAGATGTACAAAGTTAAGGAAAATGAAGACTAAGAAAAAGGCCATGAAACATGGGAAGTTAAGAAGTTACCTGTGATATCCAAAGAAGCAGTTTTGATCAAATTAGGGAGGGTTTGAAAGGATAAAAGGGAAATTAATGGGGTTGAGGAGTGAACTGGTCAAGAAACAAGGATAAATTCAAGAACCTTGATGGAGGCCATGAGAAAGTACGAAATACTAAGAGCTCTTGACTCCTCTTGTTGTCTTTATAACCAAGAACAATTAGTTGCTTAAAATGAGGGCTTCCATGGAATTGAACTGGACTAATAAATTACCCACTCATTCACATCCTTACCTTATAAGCATCATGCTCCAGACAAATAACATTACACAGAAGATTTGATTTTTAAAACTTGGAGTGTCATTTGCAATTTTGTAGCAAGATGAGCATATCAAAGCAGAGTCATACATAAGTGCTCTTTGAGAGGCTCTGCACTCTCCTGGATGTACTATCGCTGTACAAAACCTGCTCTGATTCCTTCTTCAGTGCTGTTCCCTTGGTACTGAGGCAGCTATGAGGCCCATGATAACCTCTCCAATAATAGCTATTACTGCTGTCATCACTATTACAATTTCTCTACTTCACTGCCTACATTACACACTAGACTTGCCTCTAAATAACTTTGGACTCTTTCCAATTTGAAACTGCCTCAAAAACCAAAGATTTGTCACCACAGAGTATATTCTGAAAAAAATTCTCTCAAAGGTTTCAAAAGCCATTCAGATGATGGTAGCACCACTGGAAATAGAGCTCAACCTGTAGTGATTTCTGAGGGAAGCATACATGCTTGTTCGTAAGCTCACATTTTTACCCCAGCTATTATGTGTCTCTATGTAATCCATCAGCATCTGGACTGCTCGCCTTATACTACAAATTCCCAAGTGATGAGGTTCCTGCTTCAAAGACCAATACCCTCAAATTAAAAAAATAAATAAATAAAACCACAAGGCAAACAGATTTAGCCAGATTGGGTGACAAGAATGCCAAACTTAGAAGACGCACACACAGACTAACGCGTGGCCTTACACAGTCATTCACCCTCGCTGGGTTCAGTTTCTTCACGCATAAAGTGAGGGGGTTGGACTGAAGGACTTCTAAGATGCCTTTCTTCTGGAATGAAGATCTGGGAGAGGTTATAGCAGTCTGGGGAGCAACCCCAGACCTCCAAGAAATGGGGTGCCCCCTCCCCTGCTCCTGGAGGGCAAGGCGAGGTTTCCCAGCCTAAGTGAAAGCAGCCTCCTCCCCTCTGTGTGGGGCATTTATTAGTCTAGTTCTTTGCTGCCCACCAAGGGAGCTGTTGAAAGGACAGCTCTGATCCCCTCAGCACCCCGTCAGCACTATGTCTATGGGTGGGGCAAGGAGTCCTTACCCATTGTGTTGTTGGCTCGGGAACAGGGTGTGCGCTTCAGGATCTCATGCACCTAAAACGGATGAGAGCAGGGCTGTGAGGGCCTTGACCGCGTGCGTCACCACATTGGGGGGGGGGGGGGGGGGGCGGCGGGGAACTGGCTGCTAGACCTGTTTCCAGGGAGGGGGAAGCCAAGCATGTGCCGAGCTCATGGACTGCTTGTCAAAACCACTCAAACTTGAGTGCTCTGAGGAAACAAAGAATCAACACACACACACACACACACACACACACACACACCCACACACACACACACACCCTTCACCCCACCCTGAAAATTTTTAAGAAAGGAAAGGCTGTAAGTTTCAGTTACAGGAGGCAAGGAAAACACATCAGGGAGCCCAGACCCACAGCGCCCTCTGGAGGGATGGGAAGGAGGCACCTGGTGGTGTAGATGATGCCCTGCCTGCCTTGGGGAGGAAACACCAGGAGGAGGATGTCCTTCCTCTCCACCAGACCTTTTTAGTGCCATGCTGGGTCAGCACAGCAGAGGGAGGCAGGCAAATCCGATTCTAGCAGAGGGGGTCCTGAGCAGCTCCGTGAGGTTCATCGCCTCCTCTGAGGTAGAGCTATGTCACAGCTGCTTTAAGGAACCATTTTCGCATTTTGTAAACTATAAAAGGGCTACCTATGTGTTGACCATCAATATTATTATTCTTGTTTTTCTCCTGAGTCTTCAGCTTGCCTCCCCAATCAGAGCATATCATACATTTTCTCAAAATTCCATACCTCAGAGCACATCCTGGACACCCAGAGAGCTGCCTGCTCAGTGACTACTGCATGTCTAAATGGACCAACAAACCCTGGACTAGGGATTTGCAGTGGAGACTCTCTCATGGGAGAGAGGAGTGCTGAGGGTACCCTCAGCAAAGAAAACAAGGACACAGTTGGCCAAGGTAAACCTGCTGGACAATCACTACCCTTCAGTGTGTTCTAATTCTGTGCCAAGCTATGAAAGATGCTCAGAAAGGAAGTTTGCACTGGGATAAATAGCTGGGCTGCTCAGGTGCCCACAAAAAAGAGGCACATAGAAGACATTTAAGGTGTGGGTGAGGTCCTCAAGGCAGAGTAGACCCCAAGACAAAAATCAAGGCTCTTTCTCTTCTCAGTGTGGGGTGGAGTGACAAAATGGCAGGATGGGAAGGAAGAAGTTTCTAGAAAAGATGAATGAAAAATGTGTTACTCCATCATTATTCACACTCTCACATTCCAGCCACAGTCCTAGAGGGAGCAGTAAATAAATATCTTCTAGCAGAATGGGGCCCAGGAATGTTTAATTCATTTAAAATACAGTGCAGCAATTCAACAGCAATAATAATTAAGAATAGCATTTATATGGCATTGTATTATTTTACAAGCACTTTGCAATTATCGGGTAATCTCCACAACACCCTGTAATTCCCTCACAGACGTGAGATCCAAGCCTCAGGGAGATTTAAATAGCTTATAAAAGCATCAACCAAAAAAATGAAAAGTTTATGGATTTTTACATAAAAAGATGAAAGAAATCATATGCTTATTTTTTGAAGAATGGTTTCTTGATTTTTAGAGAGAAAAGGGAAAATCATCAATGTGAAAAGGGATCAAGCCCATAGCCCAGGCATGTGCCTGATCAGGAATCGAACCAGCAACCATTTGGTGCAGGGGATGATGCTCAACCAACTGGGCTACCCCAGCCAGGGCACATATGTCAATTTTAAACCTTCCTAAGACACTAGGGTAAGGGACCTAAAGTATTTTCTTGCCCATCCTGCAGAGTCATGGCCATGTTTTCAGCATGCCTTGGAAATGTGCTGTAGCCTCCTCTAATCACCTCTCTATTTATCCTTCTTATCACCCTATTGTCTTGGAAGTTTTGCTGAGTATCTAACCCTTATTCCTCCTTCTGTTGTTGAAACTTAAGTTCTTTTTTAGGGACCAATGGAAATTCACTGCCATCGTTTCCTCTGTGTTATGAATAAGAGTCAAGCATTCCTTGGGCCCCTCTTTTCCTCCTCTGTTCATACACTGAATGTTCTCTAAATTGGTATAGAATATACTGATCAGTGAGTAAACCAATCATCCTACACATCAGGTTGGGGACACAGGGGCACAGGCCATATGCAGATTTTCACTGGAATCAATCATCCTACAAAATTCAAAAACTTGACTTCATGATTTTTCAGGCAAAGAGACTGTAGAAGAACAGTATAGTCATGAATTTTGGCTTTCTAGTGAATGGGTTGTAATTTTATTCTTGGACAAACTGGTGTGTTTTTACATTCCCTGTGTCAGGAATGCAAGGACTCATTTGGGAGTGAAAGAAAGAAGCACAGTGGCTCAGCCATGAGTTCTCATTTGGACATTAATGAGCTGTTTAAATTTTTTTCAACTCATTGCTTCTCAGAGCTTCAGTTTCCTCAACTGTAAAACAAGGGGGTTCCCTGACTACCTGAAAGTCCCCACCAGCTCTGAGAGCCTCTGTTTTGTGATTCTAAGAAGGGTATAAGTGGAGAACTCTAATGAGAAGACACTCCTATTAACCTTGAGTGAGGACAATTTTCTGCTTTTTTTATTGAATTTATTCAAGTGACTTTGGTTAATAAAAATGATATAGGTTTCAGGTGTACAATTCTATAACACACCATCTGTGTATTGTATTGTATGTTCACCACCGCAAGTCAATTGTCCTTCCAACACCATTTATTCTCCCTTTACCCTCATGTGCCTCCTCCGTCTCCCTTTCCCTTTCTGGTTTTCATCATATTGTTGTCTGTATCTATGAGTTGAGTTATCTATTTTTGTTGGTTTTTATTTAACCTCTTTACCTTTTTCACCCCACCCCCTATTTCCTTCCCCTCAGACAACTGTTAGTCTGCTTTCTTTTGCTACTGGGATTAGAAAGCATCTGCACATTTCTCTCAGTTGCTAGACAACTCTAAGCAACTATTAATGGTAGGTAGCAGGGAGGGCAAGAGGATGTCCTGCCAAACTGGGTACCGGTACTTGGTCTACCCCCACCATTTCCCAGGCCCATCACACCTGGTTGAGCACCTGGTTAGCCTGTTTACTCACAATTCGGCTACGGGTGGCATTGTCAAAGAAGGTGTCCTTATCCTGGATGTTGTACCTGGAGATACCAAGAAAGCAGAAGGTCAACTAATTTAGTACCCTTGTCCTGAGACCACTTCACCCAGGCCCAGAGCAAATTTTTAAAAAGCAGCATAGCAATGTGTGTAAGACACACACACTCACACAAACTCCCCTTTTTTATACTCTTTTTGACCCAGTGATTCTGAAAACTTATTATAGAAATTATCACAGAGAAAATAAATTTAACAGAAGAAACAAGTTTCATATATATAAAAAAAAGTTACTTTCAATAAGGTTATGGAGATACAATACAATTCCAAAATCTATATGATAAAATTATCATGTAGCCATTGAAAATTATGATTATTAAAACTTTATAAATAGAAAATAAATTTTCAGATTGTCATAAAAAATATTATACTATAAGTTTTAAAAATAAATGAATGTTAAAAGGATTCCTGTGTGTGGACAAAGGGAGTAAAAACACACAACAGCAAAAAGAGTATAGCTTTAGGATGTTGGAATTCTAACTCTTTGTTTTTCAGAGAGTCATTTAATGTTGTCACTATATCATATTAGTTAGGTACCAGAGTCCTAATTATTCAAGGCCTGTATCTGTTCTAACCTTTAAATATTGACCTTTCACTCAAAAAATAAAAATCCCAGGTGTGTAGAGTTACTGTGCTTGGGACACTGTGCCAGAGGACACACAGATGCATGAGACATGTTCCCAGCCCCCAGGAGTTCAGACACTGGAGTACCTATGTTTCCAAACAACTCATGTAAAATAGACGTGATAATATGTAGACCATTTTTATGAGAAGTCCGAGGATGGAGACCATATTTTGGTTGAAAAGATCAGAGAATTCTTCAAGAAGATGGTGTTTAGGAACTGGTCTTGAAGGATCACAGAAGCTGAATGAATGGGACTTTGTGGGAGGGGCAGTTCGAAGCCAGGATTGGCCTGAAGGAAGGTCCAGGGAAGGGAAGCACAGAAGAAACACAAAGCACAAAAAGAATAGCAGGCCAGGAGTCAGCATGCCAATTCCAGGAGTCAGCATGCTGGATGGGGTCATGGGAACCTCTGATTTATAATTAGTCATTTAGAAGCGCAGGTAACAACCTGAACTTGTAATTGCCATCAAAAGAGGAGTGGGGCAGTCTTGTAGGATTGAGCTGTCAACCTGGGAAATCTGATACTATCTCCAGGTAGACAATGTCAGAATTGGTTTCAAATGTAAGACATCCAGCTAGTGTTGGAGAATTTCTTGGTCATCTGGGAAAACACACACACACATTGGAATTGGTGACCAGAATTAATGCCAGAACCATTGAAGAGGGCAGTCAATGAGGGAACATATGCAAAAGAACAGCATATATATGTGTATAGAATCATTACAGAATATGGCAAAGATGCATAGAATATATTTATTCAATGGCCAACAGAAACACAGCTCCCATAAATACCATCTCCTCAAAAGAGACAGGTCTTCTGCCTCTCCATGCTCCTTCCTTTCCCTCTCTTGCTTGATTCTCTTATCTTATCAGCAGCAAAAGTCACACAATAGTCTTATTTTTTTTCACTAGCTCCTAAAACAGAATAAATGCTGGGCTATTGCATCTGCCACTTTCCAACCATGTCTTCCCCATCCAAAGTTTTCCCAAATGGCCATCCCTATGAATAGCTGTTATTCCTTCACCCATGGTTGGGTGTGGGAAGCAGGTCTCTTCACAGTCAATACATTTATGAATAGGCAGCTGAAAATATAAAAATCCAAAAGCTTCATCCACCTTCTATTTGGTTTATCATAGCAAGTTAAAATCTTATCATACTGGGAACTATGCAGAATAGTTTCCCCACAGAAGATAAACAGGTATCGAGTCCCAATGTTTATAATTGTCTGCTCCCTGATTCTCCATCCATCATGCAAAATGATTGAAATGTCAGGTTTCCCCCAAAGCCACTGGACAACTAGTTATGAGTTATTTGTGATAATCTCACATACAGAAGGAGATGCAGAAAATATTTCACAAGGAGAGTATGTTTCCTCCCCCTCTTTCCCATGCATGGGGCACTCTCTCTATGACTGAGTGGAGTTTGATTTTCTTGCCCATCCTCCCTCACATCCCTATCCCTGCAGTTCTATTACTCACAGGTACATTTTCTCCCTGGAGAATGGGTAGGAGAGGTTTTTCATCCTGTTGTTACTATGCTCTGGAACTCTGGGCTTCAGGGGTGAGCTCAGATTCTGCAGAATCTCATTGAACTTCTTGGCAATGCCGCCTTCTGATTTGATATCATACATCTATGAAAGACAAAGTCACAGGTCTGAAAGGAGGCCATACCCAACATTCAGAGAAGAGTGACTTACCAACCAAAGCTCCATGAGGCCCAGATCTCTGGAGGGGACCACGTTGGGGACAGAGGAGACTGGGAGAAACAAGAAGTAGGATCCTTCCCTTTCCCTATTACTTTCACAAGGACATAGGCTCTCTATTCCTTCTAATTATTTGTGTAAGTAGAGGTGACCAACGTAAAGGAATGAGTGAGGAGTCCAAACTTTCTACGTGACTTTGTTATAGAACCATAAGAGAAATGGAAAACCTACTATATGACAGTCACCATCCTGAAGCTTCAATGCACATAGCAACCCAGTTAGATAGACAATATTAGTCTCATATTATAATGAAAAAATTAAGGCTCAGAAACGTGAGATAAGTCAGCAAAGATCACACAGGCAGTTATTGGGTGACAGCTTGGATTTAACTCATGTCAACCTAGTCCAAAGTCTACTCCACAACTACACTATGCCCCTATGTGATGATCACAAAGCATCACTTTGTTTGTTCCTCTTGGGAACTATTTGATAAATGAGTCTGCTCTCAAAGTAATAAACATCTAATAAGTATCTGCTTTGAGTACGGCATAGATTAGTGCCAAGATAATCATTAATATTCATAGTTCACATAGCTTTTTATAATGCACATAATGCTTTTGCATGCATTACAACTTTTAGTCTTTCTAACTTACAGTTATAGTCACTGAGACATAATGCGATGAATGATGGCCACAATTTTTTTTACACAAATTCTCCTTTCAAAAGGTGGCATCTCTGTTCCCACTCTCTTAAGCTTGGGTGGGCTCTGTGACTGTTTGACGAGTACAGCAGAAGTGACACAATGCCATTTTCATCTTTCAGGTAGATGGGCAGCTCTGCCTTGGTCTCTCAAAGGCCTTGGCTGCCTGGAGGAAGTCTGCAGAGAGGTGCTGAGAGGGCTCAGAAAGGGAAAGAACTTGGCTGAGCTCAGCATCCTGGCTGCCCTCTAAGCATCAGGCATGTGAGTGAAGCCTTTTAGGACCCTCCTGTCCAGCTCAACCCCAAGCCAAATACCACCAAGTGACCTCAGTCAACCCAGGTCTTGAGTGACCCAGGTCTGCTCAAGTTTCTGACCCAAAACTTATAAGATAGAGTAAAATGAGTGTGTTTTAAGTTACTAAGTTTGGGCTAATTCATCATGCTGCAATGGATAATTAGAACAAGAGCTAAAATCCAGATCTTCTGACTTGAAAGCTGGTCTTCTTTTCTCTAGTGATATCCTCAAATTGCTTAAATCTAGACAGGCAGTAAAACATGTACAGAATACATATAAGATAGACAGAGATAAAAGCCACAAAAGTCACGCAAAATGCTTTGAGGGTTCAAAGGAAGGAGACAGCACATCCAGTTGAGAAATCAGAAGAATGTTTCATAGAGGGAGTGGTATCTCTATTGGACTTTAACAGAAAGGTAACCCTCTTCTGTTATCATTTTGTTCTTTAATAATAAAATTATGATAAGTTAGAGATGGAAAGAACCACCCCTGTTTAACAATTGAAACATAACCACAGTTCATTTCTTCTAATATTTTTTCTATGCATTTTGATTTAATTTCTGTTATAAAATTAACACAGTAATAGTAAACAAACACAAACCATAGAAGTATGTTAACTAAATAGAAGTATGTTAAGTTTCCTTTTTCTTCCAAACCAAACCTCTGCAGAAGAAATCTCTATTATCAATTTGAGTATATTTTATTCTGACTCAGAAATACATTTATGACTGTATTACATCTTGTTCTAAACTGTGATTTTATTTCACATCTTCTATAATTAGCAATAGTTCACAAATATATATCTTTCCAGATCAGTTCATGAAGAGGTGCCTTAATGAATATTACACAGTAAACATAAATCCTATTTTTTTTAGTCATTTCCCTAGTAATGGCCATTTATTTTATTTTCTTCACATACTTTAGCTTACTTGTCCATATTTCTATTAACATGACCTTATAAACACTTTTAATTGAACAAATATAGGCAGATATTCCAGGCAAAAAAAATAGGAAAGTTCAAGTTGGGTTTAAAAAGGGTTAAATGCCCTGGTTTCTTTGGAGCATGAGGTTCTGACAGGGACATAGTGCCAGTGCCCTTCAGAGAGCAGGGGGTTGAGACCCTATTACACAAGGCCATGGGAAGTCAGTGAAGGGTCTGATAATGACAAAACCAGAGTGAAGTTGTGTAGGAAGAAGAAGAATGAGCCAGATTTATGAAACAATTGTTTATTTCTAGAGCACATACCATTTAGTAAGCATCTCTTGTGTGGCTGGCTCTTGATATACATTAGCATTAATCTGAAAGATATGTTGCAAAGCCAAGAGGAGTTAAGTATCTCAGTCAAATATAGTACGAGCCAGATAATAATTGCTGGAACATTTGAACTCCCAGCAAAGCCTGTATTTTAACTGCTTTACTCTCCTGCTTCATTTGCTAAAACATGAGTTATTGTGGGAAAACAACATTCAAAAAGATGACCTCCTTACACTGTCCCAGCACATGTCACATAGGACATTTAGGGCAGGTTCTGACCTGGCCCAGGCCCTGCACTGAGACTGCCATGATATGTTAATCATACCCATAAACACATGCCTTTAAATGGCGTGTGCATGGAAACTAAGGTTTCAGAGCAGAAGGGAAGTTGGTGGACTCTGTCTTCCAGATGGCCTTGGAATAACAGACTTGGACTCACCAAGGGTATTTCTTCTTTGTCCACTTCTCTCTATTTCCACCTCTAGTTTCTTAGTCTAAAGAGCCTTCAACTACAGTAAGAACCAGTCTCCCTATATCTTCTCTTGCTTAGAGTTGTTAGATATAACAAATAAAAATGTAAGATGTCCAGCTTGGCTGAGTATGGCTCAGTGGTTGAGCATTCACCTATAAACCAGGAGGTAATGATTTGATTCTTGCTTGGGATATATGCCCAAGTTGCAGGCTCAGTTCCCAGTGGGGGCATACAGGAGGCAGCCAATCGATGATTCTCTCTCATCATTGATATTTATATCATTTTCTCCCTCTCCTTTCCTCTCTGAAATCAATAAAAATATTTTTTTAAATGTAAGATGTCCAGTTAAATTTGAATTTCAAATAATCAAGAAATCTTTTTTAGTGTAAGTATATCCCAAGCCATATTTGGGACATACTTAAACTTTAAAATTATACTTACATAAGAAAATAACTTTTTAATATATTTTTATTGATTTCAGAGAGGAAGAGAAAGGAGAGAGAGAATCCTTGATCAGCTGCCTCCTGCATGCCCCCCACACCGAGGACCGAGCTCACAACCCCGGCATGGACTCCAACCATGGCCTCCTGGTTCATAGTTTAACACTCAACTGCTGAGCCACACCAACTGGGCAACAATAATTTTTAGCACAAGTATTATAAAGAATATTGGGACATATTTATACTTAAAAAAAGAAAAAAAAAGTATTCATTATATATCCAAAATTTGAATGTAACTAGGCATCTGTATTTTATCCTGGAAACTCTGTTGTTCACCTCTAAATCATTCCCCATATTGGAGCCAGAGTGATGTTTCTGAAGCAACAATCTGATTATGTCACCTGCCTGGGAAAAAGTCTTCAACAATTACCTATTGCTCTTACGATAAAGACAAAAATTGTTAACAAAGCCTATGGGATTCTCTAGAAGGCTCCACATCATATTTCATATGATAAGTACTACAAAGTGCCTCTCCTTTGTAGTACTTATCACAGTTGTAACTTTACATTTATTTGATGATTATTTGATTAATGTCCAGCTGCCCCACCAAACCATAATCTCCTTAAAGGCAGGATACTGTTCAAACTATTCCCTATCTTTGCATGAATGAATGATAAATCTCTGGGGAACCAGCATTGATTACACCAGTTGCTGCCACAGAAGGAGCCCAGGGTGGGGACAGGACATCCAAAATGTAAGAGATCTTGATAGAAATAAATCAGGCTGGAGGAAAAAAGTCTAAAGGCTAAAACCTGTGTCTGGCTGAAAGGCTTCCTTCCTGTCCTCATTGACCGCAAAAGCACTCAGGAGCCCAGCCCCAACAAAGCCAGGAGTGCCTGTATTCAGTCATTTTAGAATAATAACCCAGCAATTGTCTCAGGGCCCAGTTCTGGCATAAGGGTAGCTAAGAACCTATAAGAAGTCCTTGACCCTCATCTTGGCAGTGTATCTGGAAGAACTCACTTAGAGAAAAAGGCTAAAAGGTGTGGGCACCTGTCATATGTCTTGGACCAGGAATGGGACCAGTACAAATGTTGACTGTTTTTGATGGAGTTGTGCTCCAAATCACTGAGAATAATATTGTTTGCCTTAGGGAAAAATGTAGAAGGTGTAAAAGGCCAGTGTCCCACCAGAAACCTCAAGGTAACATCTGAAAAAAATCTACATAAACATGCCCCGGCTGAAACACCATGCTGACTTATATCAGAAAGACATTTCCCAGACTTCAGGGATTTGGGGAAGATGGAGCCAGACATATTCCACAATAACACATAGGTGAGTGGCCCCATGGTACAATACCATGGACACTAGGCTTGGCTTCCTACTCCACTGGGCCTTTGCACGTGTTGCATCTGCTCCTGGAACTTCTCCCCTCCTTTTCTACCTGGATTACTCTCCTTCTCCTTCACCACTAAGTTCAAGTGTCAACTTTTCCAGGAAACATTTCTTGGTCCCTCACTTCCTACCATGCTTCCTTATTACCCTGTGAACGAACACCTGTGTCATAAAATTTGTCATCCACTTCTCTTAGTCTTGGTTCACCTATCTGTCTCCCCAATGGACTATGGACTTCTAGAGAAAGGAAGGACCACAGTCTGTGTGCTTGGTGTGTAGGAGGAACACAAAAATATCTATTGAGTGAACATCCTGGCCCTTGCTGACACAATCTAGCTGTGTTACTTGGGGCAAGTCCCTCTCAGGTTCTTC